TTTCTTTACGGTGATTGAAGTCAACAGCGTATATGACATCCTCCCCATCTTTTGTTATCCTCCAGGTGGTACCTCCTAACAGATGACCAGCTACCAGTGGAGCAATCACGATTCCTTCTCCTTTTCCTATAATAAAACAGCAGTTCCATTTACTAATTAGGGGATGTTGTAACTACTTCAAAATGAGTTGGTGGTCAAGACTTGCAACCAAACAAACTATTAAGAAGCAGTTGAATTTTTACTCATCAATGTCATGGGTAACTTTACCTTCTTTTTTTTTTGAAATTGGTAACTTGGTAACTTTACCTTCTTGACAATATGAAGGATGATATTAGATTATACTTGATATAATAAACCACAATACGGACATGAGTTGAACTCGATAAAAGTGGCAACAAGAAAAGAGACCTACCAGACATGTAATGATTTTGAGAGTAGGTTAATCTGGTCACATTTTGGAATGCTGAATCAATGTCATCCAAGGTGAATAAATCAAACTCTGAAACTTGCTGCACAAGAGGAGAGTGTCAATGGACTTACTTCTACACGATCACACACTCAAAAGTAACAAACACAAATGATCTTGTCAGACACTGGACATTTAGTTTCTCAGCAGCCAAATATTGTTCTATAGGTCCTGGAATCCCAATAGAGGCGTGTTCTATTACTTCCACTCTCTTTTTTCCTTCAAAAATTCTGAACCCTGTTAGTATAAGTGAAAAGTTATATCAAATTAAGTGACACTCAAGTTAGTATATTTGTGACTGATAATGGTTAGTCACATTTACCAATCTTATTTCCAGAGTTCTTACTTCTCTAATTTGAAAGGGTTGGCTAGCATTAACGGACATGCTATACCAAGTAAATAGTATCTGAAGCAGTAATATGAATTCCTAGTTTACTATGCAAATAAGGAGAGTGAAAGTTAATTAATCCTTTTTGTCAATGAGTAGGGAAGGATTCATGATAAATTATCCCTATAACACATATTCCAAGTGTCAAACATTATTTTTTCTATAGCTTGACATAATTCATTGCAAAGCTAAACATTTATACACAACATCAATGTCAAGGACCGATGCTCAACATACAGGTGAAATGTTCGATTATATAGCATATAAGCTAAAACACCCCAGAATTTATAGACTAAGGAGTATCAACAGATAACAATTGCATTGAATAATTCATAGATAACGCCAGAGTAAAGCTTCACCTTCCGCGAGAGATACTGATCATACATAGTTAGTAACCCTAGCCTGTACACTGGTTCTGTAGCATAAATAGGAGCAGAAAGACCGAATTGTTTCATGGCATAGGGCAAGGCACCAAGATGAAATGTATCAGAGTGTGAAATCAATACAGCATCCACCGTTGAAGCCACCCTGAACATCAATGCAAGATATATTGTTTCAGCACAGGATAGTTTAAAGCAATCAATAGATGAAGAATCAATCCAATAACAAACTATCTGTTGTCAAATGAACAAGCTAGCAAACGATTTTACACTTGTTTGGCTCCGAGAAGTAGCAAAATTATATACATTGAAGTGAAACGAAATGAAATTGATACTGTGTTTGTTTGTGGAAGACCTGGAAAGGGGTTGAAGAAGAGAAGTATCAAAGTGGTCATTCCAACCACAATCGACGAGGAAATTGAAGCCATCGATGGAGACGAGGTAAGAGAGTGGGTTCTCATTAAATACTCCACACAGTGGCGTCACCTGAACCGACGTTCCCATGTCGCCGACGTCGCTCTCCGCTTCTCTTTGCTTAATCCCACAGTGAGTCGCCGGACTTGGTGAAGAGGGGGGATGTAGCAGGCAGGGGTTTTTGTTTTCTCTCCCTCCTTTTTTTGGTCTTTTACTGTAAGGTATAGGAGATTTGACAAATTATAATGAGGAAAAATCTCAAATGAGAAATAACATAATGATAGAGTAAAGGTTTAGAATTTTAGAAAATAATAAAGAAATTACAAAAATATATAATGTAGAAATTTATCTTCGGTCAGTTTGATTCAATATTTTGTAGACATGTTAAACCGTTATATAATTATTAAGATGTTGGCATATCAATTATTAATCATTATCAGTTTGGTTATCGGTTTAATTGTTAAAATTTAATATTAAAAACTCATAAAAAATCACTTAGAAACAAGGTAACAAACCAAATAAACCATGCACATGAACCTTCGGGGTGACCCAATGGTTTGGGATTGGGACTTCCATGTTGGAGCTCTCAAGTTCGAAACCCTTTGCCAGTGAAAGCAAGGGGTTTGCCTTCTGGATCGAGTTCGTCGCACCGGGCTTGTCTAGTGCGAGTTATCTCTCCTATGTGATTTGCGAGATAATGCATAAAAGCGGGGGTTTTACCCTATGCGCACCAAAGGATAGCGAATGCGGTTTCCCTAGTCATCAAAAAAAAAAAAACATGCACATGAGTTTGTCAGAATGCATCTTACTCAAAAGTAAACATTATCACATTCTAGAATAATCAAAAGTTTGAGACAACCTAAAATAAAAGTATTAAACTAAACTTCTAAGTTCTAAGTCAAGGACTTTATATACCAAATGGTATGAATATAATTATTTAATTTAATATTGGGTTATCGATTAACCTGTTAACAAAAAACTTCAAACCGTTAAGAACCGACAACTCAATAATAAAAAAAAATCAAAATTATTAAAAAAATTGCTAAACCAATAACCCATTACAAATAAATCAATATTTTTTTTCGGTTCGAATTAACGATTTTGAACGACCTTACTTTGAACTATTTGTTACTTCTTTGAAAAGTAGGGCTGGGCATTCGGTATTTCGGTTCGGTTTTATTTTTTTTTCCGGTTTTTTTGGTTTTCGATTCTTGTACAACGTGTACCGAACACCGAATCGAAATAATTCTGTTCAGTTTTTATTATTTCGGTTCGGTTTTTGTTATTTCAGTTCGGTTTTTGTTAATTCGGTTTTTCGTTATGGGCCTGCTTAGTGGGCTTTTTAAAATTTTTACTTTTTTTGTTTATTTTATTTATGTTTATTTATTTTTGCTTATTTTACTCTGTTTTTCAAATTATTGTATGATTCAAAATAATAAATTGTCGTTAACATTGAAATTTAGCCTTGTTATAACATTGAAATTTACCGGTCGTTGTTGTGCTACGGCTGCCTGCTGGTCAATTGGCAGCTGCTGGTCGCCAGAACGGTCAACGCTGCTATAGTATGTAGACGACTAGATGTGGGAAGTGGGAACGGTAATTTTTGCCTTTTGGGAAGTGGGTTTGTAAAGTTGAAAAGTTTGAAAAGACAAACTTTTGTTTTTAATTTTAAATTATAATATTTATTTTTAAATATTAATAACTAATATAATATTAATATATATTATAATTTAATATATTTCGATAAACCGAAATACCGAAAATCGAACCGAAATACCAAAAAATACAAAACCATATACCAAATACCGAACCGAAAACCGAAAACCGAAATACCGAAAACCGAATTACCAAGGTAATTCGGTTTTCGGTTTTTCGGTGTTTATGCCCACCCCTATTGAAAAGCACTTATTTGTTAATTATCGAAATGATAATATATGTAATATTATCCATATTTTATTTTATATTAAAAAAAAATCATGTATTTTAATGTGAGAATTATTTAATATTTAGTCACTTGGGGTGTGTTTGGTGCAAAAAAAATCAGTTTTGATTGTCTAGTTGGTTGAAATATTTTTCCAAGAACCTCAAGGAAAATAATTTTTCTAGAGGAAATACGAAAAACAAGTTTCATAATTAACATTCCAAAATTATTATCTCCTCCACAACCTTTTACCGCTCGTTGACTAGGTACCCATGCCACTCCGACACCCATCTCGCACCTCATCTCCAGCCGTATAACATTTTCCTAAATTACATATAACTAGTTTTGAAACAATAATTGCATGTTTGAATTGACTTAAAAATTGGTCAAATTTACTTTCAAGATATTTTTAACTTTTGAGAATGATAAAGTTAAAAATAACTCTAATAAATTTAAAATGACTTTGAAAAAGTTAAAAGCAGTACTCCCCTACTTTATTTTTTTACTTTAAAGTTACTAAAGTTTGACTTTTTAAAAAACTACTATTTTAAAGTTTAACCAAAGAGACTCTAATTCATTTATGAAATATCAATAAGTAAATTAAAAAATTCACTTATTTTTCAAGAAAATGATTAAGATGATAATGATATTCACAAGTCACCGAACATCTTTTCCTCACAAAATAGTTGCATTCAAAATTACATGTCTATGGGACTAATTGTTTGATTAATTCAACGAAATTTGTACGGAATTATTATATTTTATTTAGTTACTATTGGGAAACTAAGGTGGATGTTTATGCTGCCAAAAAGTTGCTCAAAAATATTACTTCAAAACATCCATTAAATATGTACGTTATGTATACCTTTGTGGCTCATAATTCACATGTATTATGTATATCTTAATTGCATACAACAATATGATTTTTCAACTATATTTTACTATTGCCATTGCATACCCTTCAGGGTTACAATCATATGCATACAACAATATTGACATGTAAAGGTCTTCTTTTTTATTGTAGAACTAAAATACTTAGTTACAGAACGTGGAAATCATGCATCTCCTTTTTATTTTTCCTTACTTTCTACCGAGTAGCTATGCACATGTCCGGTAAAAAAGACCGAACCACGAGCCACGAGTCTATTGTAAGACATTAACTGCATTTCTATACAAGGTTACTTCCACAGCTTGAATCAATAACCTCCTAGTCACCTGCATTTCTATACAAGGTTACTTCCGCAGCTTGAATCAATAACCTCCTAGTCACATGACAACAACTTCGCCGGTACCTGTTGAAATTCATATGAACCATACAGCAAGAGAAGAAAATGGTGGTCTATAGTTTCTACCTCTGCCTCCAAAATAGAATTACCAGTTTTCCCTAGAAATCACTGGGAAATGGGAGGAATAAAGACAATGCAACTCCAATAATAGAAATATTAGCGTTTGTAATTGCAACATAAGTCTGAGGCTCGTCGCTGTCTCAAGATTGACAACCTCGTAAATATACGTAAGACATAGGTCCAACAAAAATTGTAAATATCCAACAGATGGGGCTGAATTATACCAAGTAAATTTACAGGTTTGGATGTGCCCTCCCTAGATGTAGCTTTATGGGAAGAACGCAAGAGCTCAGACGTCAGTAAAACGAGTTTTCTCATTTATGTTTGACGGTGATCCTTCCCACAGCTCCGCTAGCTCCTTTCTCATCCATGAAATGACAATTATCGGCCCCAAAGTTGATGGTACCTATTTTAGCCAATATATGAAGTAAATGAGCTTAAGACCAAATTGGATCATGCTTGTTATGGAAGCTGAACTTCTTAAACCAGCATAAGAGGATAATCTCAAGAAATTTTATTTTTTTAACGAGATAATCTCAAGAAGTTTTTACAAAAGACAGTAGTAAACTACTAAAAATTTGTTACAAGTTCTAGTCACATTTAGTTATTTTTTCATTTCTGGAGTTTTAGAGTAAAAATTAGTCACCGACTAGTAAAATTAATATGTGAACAATGAACTGAGTTTACAAACATTTTAAAAATAGGGTGTGAATTGATGTAAGAAATTCACAACAGATTAATCTGTTCATGCAAGCATGAAATATCACTCAAGTCTTAGAGTGGCTCATGCACATCCTGAATAACTAACACTCCCTGGGGACTGGACAATAAACACCAACCCAGTATCTCTTTAAGATATCATATGTGCAATGTAAACTCTTCCTTTAGAAGGCACTAGATCAAGTATTGGGTAGCATGTAAGAGTCTCACATTCACACTGGTTGGACACCACCTCGATGCTTTTGAATTTGATAAGGAAAAAGAAAACAAATTTGCAGAGATATAAACCATTGATCTAAATGCACATTTAGGTAGACCTCCATAGGCACCATCTTAAGAACTTACTAGCATGCAATGTTTAAACCCAAGCTAAGCAATTTAACATTAGCAGTTAAAAATCAAAGTGAGAATACACATCACTTAACCACAGTTAACTGATAATTATAAATGTGTGTCTTAAAGACACTGTCTAGCATTTATTAGTTTAGGGTAAACACCGGGTGCGGGTAAGCTTCTACCCATATATACAACACTATGAGATTGAAGATTAAAAAGACGATAAGAAAAGCCTCTAAAATTATACAGAGGGAAGTTGTCACTTAAACACCTATACAATGTGTAGAAAAGTATACAGACTTGGATAAAAACAAAACATAATAGAAACCTAGGAATCAAGGATCCATGTAAGAGATGGTCCTAATTTGTTAGTATAAGGTTTGGTTGTTACATCTACCTTAAGTCATGTGTTAGTGGTCTTTTTAGTTTGATTAGAGATTTGTAGGATTGTGTCCCCCTTTCTTCTTAGTGGTGGATCGATTACATCGATCTTGTGTAGTTGACTTGGTAGTATAGGACATGTTGGAAGATTTAATTATTTTGAATATGGTAAACTTCAACATCATTTTGGGTATGAATTGGTTTTTTTCGTATTATGTAGTTCTAAACAATTGTTTTAGTTTTTAAATTTGTTTTGTATTCATAAATGTTCTTGTACTGGTGTCACCAAGTCTTGAGGTAGTTTTGACTTTGACTTATTTATTCCACTTTTATAAGAGTTAATTGTTTATTTTATATAAATTTTGCATTAGTTAAATTGTTAATTAGTTAATAAAGAAATAGGGTTCGCCTATGCACCGAGATATTGGCCCATGACCATGCTTACTTCATATTCAAGAGCAAGCATCCTGGCTAACTTGGCTACGTTTATGCACTTACAACACTCGACAATGATTACGTGATTAACCAAGTCTGTACTGCGCCTTCCCTCCCTGAGCCATCGCTTAATGTCAATTTTTCCCCTTCCTTGAAAGGGTAAGACACATGTACTTGGTTTGCTCTATTTCTTTATCTTCCCATGAATCGTATGTTTGTAACAATAGGGACTGAATTTGTCTCCATCGTTGTTATGTAAGAGGAAAAGAGCGAAAAGTTTACTTTTAGGTAGTGGCCTAAGCTCTAAGAAGTGAACATCATGCTACTCAGACTAAATGCTTAACACATGCAAGTCGAACCTTGGTTTTTGGAGTTCGAAAGAGAAGGGGAAGAAGCGGGGTAAAGGAATTAGTCAATGCCGTAATATGTTCTCCACCACCACCACAACCACCGACTCCTCCAACCGTAGGACGTTTTCTTCTCTGCCCTCTCCTCTCCAAAGGCCAAGGGAGACACTGCATCCATTTCCTTCGATAGCCCTTTTGGTTTCCCAAGGATAGCGGTAGCTGGGATAGTGGATGCCCTCATGTCCCAATGGGATTTTTGGATCGTGACAACACTGAGTTTTGGAGAATATCCAGTTTTAGAGAAACCTACTATGTCTTTGAAAAAAATCATTTTGTATCTGAACGACATGATCAAATTTGAGTCGAACAGATATCAAGGATTCATATAACCAACCCAAACTAGTTAGATAAGTTAAAGCATGTATACCTTGATCTAATGGATACCAAATGACCAACACATCTTTACCATGAATTTGAAGGACGGATATGTCACTATGTGTAGACATACCGACGGTTTTGACCGATGAAGAATGTCTTTTAAAAAAAGTAAGCAAAAATAAAGTGTTGCCTTACACCTAATTTTATAAATAAAAAGAAGTAATCACACAATTAAGAGTAAACCTAATCATAACCAAATACTTCAACTATTGTTTCCGGGAGTCAAAAATCAGTGGAGATATAAGCGGGATTGTAAAAGATTTGTGGGCAAATAGGAAGGTGAAATATGCACAACTAGAGGCACGGGGGACAAGAGGTGGTATCATTATCAAGTGGGATAGTAGTATCTAGGAGGGGGAAGTATGTGAAGTAGGGGCTTACAACATCACTTGTAAGTTCACAGGGAAAGCACAAGATTTGGGATGGCATTTTTCAGGTGTCTATGCCCCAAATAGTAGAGAAGAAAGAGAAGAAGTATGGGGAGAGCTGGGGCAGTGAAGGGTCTATTTAATGGACCTTGGGTGGTGGCTGGGGACTTTAATGTAGTGAGATTCCCTTCTGTGAAGAAAAACTGCAACATATTCAACAAGGAGATGGAAGAATTTTCTGAATTTATAAAGGACATGGAACTGCAAGACTTACCTCTTGTAGGTGGCAGATTCACATGGAGGAAAGGAGATGGATATGATATTGCAGCAAGATTAGATAGATTCCTGATATCTGAGGAATGGGAAGTAGCTCTTAGAAAGATCAAACAATCAATCTTACCTAGAGTAACTTCCGACCATAATCCATTGTTGTTGGAATGTGGTAATTGGGAGAGATCAACCTCTAATTTTAAGTTTGAGAATTGGTGGCTGCAAACTAAAGACTTTAAAGAAAGAGTTAAAGAATGGTGAAACTCTGCAATTTATGTGGGAAAACCAGATTATATTTTAGCTTGCAAGCTAAAGTTACTGAAAGTCAAGTTGAAAGAATGGAGTAAAACAGTACATGGCAACCTAGGTATACAAAAACAGAGCATCCTTAACCAGCTGGCTGAACTGGACCAGATACAAGATCAGAGAATCCTATCAGATGATGAGTCCTATTTAAGAGCAGTATTGACAGTGGAGTTTGAAGAAAATGCCAAGAGAGAGGAAGTGGCTTGGAGGCAAAGATCTAGGGCACTGTGGCGCAAAGAAGGGGACATGAATACAAAGTTCTTCCATAGAACTGCTAATTGTCACACGAGGTATAACAACATTGATAAACTGATCATAAATGGGTCCAGTGTGACTGAACCAGCTGAGATCAGAGATGAAGTTACTTCATTCTACCAAAAACTTTACAATGAGACAGAATTCTGGAGACCTCAGTTCAACCCTAGAGGTCAAGCCAGGATAGATGAAGAAGATAATGCAGCTCTGCAAGCCCAATTTGAAGAGCAGGAGATTAAAAACTGTGTGTTCTCATGTGCAGGGGATAAGGCACCAGGCCCTGATGGTTTCACAATGGCCTTTTTCAAACAGTGCTGGGAAGAGATAAAACAGGAAGTGGTAGCTGCCATCCAGAACTTTCATGACCAGGGCTACTTTGAAAAAAGTTTCAATGCCACTTTCATAGCCCTGATCCCCAAGAAGTTTGGAGCATCTGAATTGAAAGATTTCAAGCCAATTAGCTTGATTGGGAGTATCTACAAAATCATATCAAAGATTTTAACAGAGAGACTCAAGAAAGTTATGTCAAAACTAGTGGATGAACAACAAATGACATTCATAAAGGGCAGGCAAATTATGGATGCAATACTGGTGGCTAACGAATGTGTGGACATGAGATACAGATCCAAAGCTCCAGGAATTCTATGCAAGCTAGACATAGAAAAAGCTTATGATCATTTGAATTGGGAACATATGTGGAGAACATTAAAGAGGAAGGGGTTTGGCAACACATGGATAAAATCAGTGTTATCAAAGGCGCGCTTAAGCCCTGAAGCGAGGCTCAAAACGTGTTGAGCGCTTCGCCTCGCTTTATGTGCGCTTCAGTGTCATCATCAAGGTTCTAAGGCGAACGTTTCCTTGCCAATGAACCTCGTATGAAAAAAGTGACACTAAATAATTGATATTTCACTTTATTATAATTATTTTTCAATTTCTTGGTCATATATTAGTCATTCATGTTCATAATTATTAGTCTTGGACTAAACATATATATTTGTATTCTTTTCTCCCTTTGCGCCTTTTTTCATTAAAGCCCACGCTTTATTTGCGCTTTGCGCTTAAAATCCTCACGAACCTTAGAACTTTTTTGCGCTTTTCGCCTTTGATAACACTGGATAAAATGGATGAGGTTCTGCATAACTACAGTAAAGTTTTCAGTTTTGATAAATGGCTCGCCAACTAGCTTCTTTTCCTCTGAGAGAGGGTTGAGACAAGGAGACCCCCTGTCTCCTTTTCTCTTCATTTTGGCCATGGAAGGTTTAAGTGACATGCTAAAGAGTGCTCAGGTGAATAACAGAATCAGGGGCTTCACTGTGAATGAAGGAAACTCTCTGGGAGTGTCTATTTCCCATTTACAATATGCTGATGACACCTTGGTATTTTGTGAAGCAGAGAAGGAACAACTAAAACACCTAAGGGTTATCATCATCCTATTTGAAGCAGTTTCTGGACTTCATATAAATTGGGAAAAGAGTTTTATCTATCCTGTGAATGAAGTTCCAGAAATCAGTACTTTGGCAAACATTTTAGGTGGTAAGATAGGAGAGCTT